CTCGGCATCTAAACACTATTCCACCAAAAACAGACACCAAACCTACAGAGTGGGATAGTGGAGTAAGGGGAGGTCACGATAAGACGGGCCTGGCACCTAAACACAAACCCCACAAAGATGACATCTACCAAACTAGCAGGATAGTGGAGTAAGGGGGAGTTACGGTCAGACGAACTCGGCACCTAAACACTATTCCGCAAATAAAACTGATACCAAACCCAGAGAGTGGGATAGTGGAGTAAGGGGAGGCAACGATAAGACGGGCCTGGCACCTACACACTAAAACGATGACATCTACCAATCCAGAAGCAGACGAGATCATCTACCAAACGATATGTTTTATATTAAATAAAGGGAAGAACTTCCCACTAAACCAAATCCATGGCCTAAAGCCAAATGGAAAGATTGCAAAATCATATTCTAAAAAACAGGAATCAGCTTCAGCTCTCCTATGTCTTGTCTGCGATATCACTTATGTGGAAGCAGACGTTAAACACCAAGAACAAACGAACGAACAGCCCGGGATAAAACAGCCCGATAAAATAATTTTTAATGGTAAATATCTTATTATACAAAAACACATTGCTGAACAGGGTCGAAAAGCTCTCTTCTCAGTCTCAAAAGTTTGTAATGAAAATTATTTTAATATTGTAACTAAACTTTGTATTTTTTATACTTTTATCTAAATTGTGGGGTTTTCATTCGGGACATGATATACATTTAAGGTAGCTTAGGAAAATCTTAGATACAAGAACAACCACAAATTCCCACATGATCTATTATGAACTTGGACGTTTCCCTTTAATCATTACGAGAAAGTTACGGATATTTAATACTGGATTAAAATACGTTCTTCTACTAATGTCTTACTTAATTCTTGCTACTCTAATGTTAATAAATAATGACCCATGGGTCCTGAATGTTAAGAAGGAACTTTTTAAAATTGGCTTGGGAGATTTATGGGGAAAACCTGCTCATCTCATAAACACAAATTGTATCCATATCATCAGACAAAGATTATTAGACATATTTAGACAGGAGTGTATTGAGAAATTTGAATTATCAAGTGAACGTATCATTTATAAGCATATTGTGAATACATTTGGCTTACAATATTATTTGACTAAACCAATAGACAGAAAATACAGATGTGAAATTATAAGAATCCGTTTGTCCAGTCATAATTTAAATATTGAAAGGTTACGATATAGTTCTAAATATATTGAGAGAAGTAAACGATTATGTACATTGTGTAATTTTGAAAACATTGAAGTTGAGTACCATTTTGTTTTAATTTGTCCAATTTATAAAAATCGGAGATAAAAATATATAAAAAAGTATTATTATTCGAACCCCAGTGTTTTTAAATTATTTAATCTTTTATGTACTAAAAATGTATCTGAACTTGTAAACCTTGGTAGATTTTTATATTTTTTTTAATAAAATAAGAGATGAAGAGATTTTTTTTTTTTTTTAAACAATATTTTATTCACAGGATACCGAAACAAGCCAAAGGCTTATATAAATCAGCTTCCCAAAAGCAAGATATATAAATGATATAAACATATATTATATAAATATCAATATACATGTATAGGAGTATTAATGTACATATATAATAAGATTACAGGAAGAATATAATCAAGTTTTAGCTAGCATCAGGACCAAGAAGGGGTTGATAATCGACTGCTGAGTTTAAGTTTGTTACCCCAAAATCATGAAGAGATTAAACGGAATAGTAACAATTAATATACTGTCACTCTACTCTCCATATCATGATTCTTGTTTGTAATACTGTGTTTATATATTAGTATATATGGATATTTGTATTGTTTTTTTTTTGTTTTGTAAATATTTTGTAAATATTTTTGTTTTTCCCAATGAGTCTGTGACTCAAGGGTAATAAAAACTTGAAACAGCCCGAGGTGAAATGGTTGTGGGATGAACTGACCCGCACCCGGCTGGTAACTACAGGTGGGAATTAATAAAACAACAGCATTTGACCAATCAAATAATTAATGTTAATAAAAAGGGACATTTATGACTAAGCTGTACATTCAAAGGCATGATTTTGTATGGCACCCAGACAGGTGAGAATTAATAAAACTATAGCATTCGACCAATCGAAGAATTAATCCATACTGTACTTACGAACATGTATATTCAAAAACATGGTTTCATATGGCACCCAGGCACTTGACCATCGGTGTGAATTAATAAAACAATAGCATGCGACTAATCAAATAATTAATCTATTAACGTTCATTTATGACTCCATCCTATATTCCAAATAACAGTTGGCTGACCAAAAGGTGAATAGCTCATAATACCGTGTATAGACAGGCCTTTTCTGTAATTAATGTGTATGGGAATATAAATTAAGAGGAGATTAGTGACTAATATGATAATTGTCTGCGATATCACCTCGGTGGAAGCGGGCATTAAATAAAGCTATTTCACACATAATATGATAATCGTATTTAAAAGACGACTTTCACAACATAAAAGTTGCGTTTATTTTGAATACTAAAATAACTCTGGCTTAGTTTGGCTTGGCTTGGCTTGAGTGGAAGATTTTTAAAGACACAGATTTTTAATAACAATTTTAACAGACTGTGGTATAGGATTTAAATGGTTCATTTACATTATCAATACATACAATTTGCTTTTTGTTATTAAATTATATATAAATCCGTTGATTGTTTTCCAATTTTGATTTCTTTTTGCGCATGCTGCTATTTCTTTATTTATAAACCAGTGATTGTTTTCCAGTGTTGTGTTTTTAGTATTCATGCTGTTATTTGTGATTGTTTTTAATATTTAGTGTACATACATATAAACACATACAATTGGTTTTTGTTATTAGATTATCATAGCTAAATATATGTTCTGTTTTATTTATAAACCCTTTTCTTTTTCGGGAATGTTGATTTTGAATCAGTACCAAAATTAAACACATGTACCCAATAATCAACTAAATTGCGCAGAAACCCCCAATCAAGTAATTACGCTGTCTGAAAATGGGCGACAGCTTGTCTATAGAGATTGACAGTGACTTTCTTTGGCACCAGTCTAATGTACAGTCTCGTGAGATTATTGGACTGCCATTGTAAGCTTGACTTATGACCATGTGTACAGATGGAAGACTAGTTAATTCATTTGGGATCTTAAAAAGATCCATTACCTGGGACGTGATTTACCGATTTCCAATTGTATAATTACCTGGGATGTGATTTACCAATTTTTGATTTATTTGTCAATGGTGGAATACTAAGTTTATAGGATAATGGATAATATATAATACTACGACCACGGTAAGGTGATCATCTATGGGTTGCATTTTTTATATTCCCCTTTTTTATTCGTACTTCATATGTAAATAATCATAATCAAAATGAACTGATTGGATAAACGGCTCGCGGGAAATTAAAAGGTTCATCTAATTTTTCAACGCCGTAGATAAATTAATCGTGTGTTGATTTTTCAACGCATCTTGGGAAATCAAACAGCTCGTCTAACAAGTAAAGGCCGTAGATAAGTAAACGGTGTGTTGATTTTTCAACGCATCTCGGGAAAGCAGATGGCTCATCTAATAAGTAAACGTCGTAGATAAGCAAACAGGTTGGCCATTTTTAAACGACTCTTGGAGAAACCCAACCCGTTACCATTAAACTAAGCCATAGTACTAACTAACCCATTTATGTAATTCTTAAACGATTTTTATCAATTATCGAACAATGTTTTGAAAGTAAACTCTATGCTTACTTTCCAGCGCTAAAAACTCTGTTCTAAACGATACCAAATCCCTAGTGTATGTTAAACAACAGCAGTTCTGTTAGAACAGATTTAATGAGTCACATAACAGGTGAAGTCACATAACAATAAAAGTCACTTAACTGATTAGGCACATATACCCCAATGCGTGGGTCCGACCGGACCGACGACAATATACGTCCACATGAAAATGTGGGCATATAAAAAAATAATATATTTATATTGATAGTTGAATTTCGTTTACTGTGGCTTTATACGGCATATAAAATATACAAGCATGCCTAATTGAATATTATTGTTTAAAATTTTATTATCAGCTAGGTTCGGAAACATTAGAACAATTACGAAATAGTCGAAAAGCGACGAATCTCTAGTGAGAAAATTATCCGCCGTTTGTTTCACTATTGAAATTTCTATCATTCTGTCAGTGATTTAGATATTGATACCCTGAAAATAACATTTACAAACAAAACCTTAGTTTAGTTCAGTCATGTGACGAAGATAACAGAACACGCGTATAGTTGTGTCGACTTCTTTGATTCTCTAAAAATAAAACTTGATTACTCAATAAACAGTTTTAATCTCTTAACCACTAAAGATGTTAATTAATTGATGGGATTAAGAGAAGTTATTCTCATTAAAGTTATAATATACAAAACATGCATGGATTACTAAAATATGGAGTATTCACATTTGTTCCAAATTGTAACACTGTCATAGGAAATGTTTTTATTAAACGACTAAATAGCAAATAAATCGCCTATACAAAACATGGATTACTAAAATATGGAGTATTCACATTTGTTTTAAATTGTAACACTGTCATAGGAAATGTTTTTATTAAACGACTATATAGCAAATAAATTGCCTGGTTGCTATGTGATTTTGTTTTCTCAAAACGTACTTTCCTGACTTGGGCAGGTTCAAACAGACTCAGCTCAGTCAATTTTTGACCGAATCAAACCAACCATACATCATTTTGAAGGTATTGAATTGGCAAATGTGACAACAACAATAACTCAATTTTCAAAATTTCCTTATTGCGACTCATTATGCCATCACAGGTCACATATACCAATTTCAAAACAATCAGATGATAAATGTAGTCTGTAGAGTGTTCACAAGAAATTGTGGACGACGGACAGACGGGTCAACGGCAACATACGACCACATGGAAATGTGGTCGTATGAAAATTTCTTCTCATAATGATTTGTATTTTACTTACCTGCAGCTGCCTATCAAAGGCTTGAAAGGCTTTTTCACTTAAGATATCTTGAATCTTGTCACAGTATTCTTCTTCAGAGCAATAACTATATAAACACTGATCATCTGTTAACTATAAATTGATTATCGAAAATCACAATATGAATTAAGAACAAGCCAAAGTGCGATGGCTGATGTCCCCCGCCGAAATCCCAAAATAAACAGATGACACATATTAATTAATCGCACATTTATTTTTTTCAAAAGTATCAAGCAATCAAACTGATTATCAACTATAAACTGAGTTCCATCACTATCTATCAGATAGAATCAAAGTTATCTTGTCCCAAAGCATCAACCAATGAAATTTCTTAGCTCTGCTTAGCTTTAGCTCGAAATGTTAATCATTGAACTCAGACAAGACATTCACCTAATGAACATCTACATCAAGTTTAAACATTCTACCTTAATTAAAAGCAGAGCTGTTATGTTCCAAAGTTTTGATCAATCAAATTGCTTATCACTCCTTAGCCTAAGCAGAAAATTCTCATCATCGAACTTAGTCAAGGTAATGATATAATTTATACTCAAAGTTTCATCACTCTCACTTAATTAAAACCAAAGTTATCGTGCCCCAAAGCATCAACCAATCAGATGGCTTATCTCTGCTTACATTAAGCCAGACCCATCAATCCCTTAGAGCTGCAATGCAGTAGGGCAGCGTAAAAAATGCAGTAGAAACCATGATGTGGCAGTAGATTTCCAAAAACGCGTAAATTCGCACTTCCAAGGGTAATTAATTTAGAAATGATACACTGAACTGCAGGCCAAACAACACAAAAATTGCATTAAATGGGTAATAGATAAAATATACACAAGCAATGGTACCATATCTAAAATTAATTATGTAATTAAACCAAAATTGAATATGTAGCCTACAGAAAGAAATAATTAGTAATGTAAAAAATAATTAAAATTACCAGTCCAGTAGTACTGGCAGTACCACTTTTCTTTTGTTTTAACTTAGCATGATTTTAAAAAATATCCTTGTGACGTGTTCCCCATTCAGAGAGTTTTTGTCAATATTTTCTCATGTAAGATAATTGGTGTGCTTATTAGATTCTCTAGTATTTCTACATGAGGAATGGAGGGGGGGGGCGTAAAAAATTAGTTTTGCATAATGACTAAATTTTGGTATCGATTTAATCATGCCCCCCCATGGCGATTATCCTCTCAATGTACGGGATTTTTTTATCCCATGATTCCGTAAATCTGCTTTTACATTTAATCGAGAAAGTGTTCCATATAAGTCAGAATCGGCGAGACATATTCCCATCTTGAAATTGAATTTCCAGGTTGTGTTGCGTTTGAAGTATTGTATTAGATGCTGTACGTAAGCGTGCAAATGGAAATGTCAGCCATTATTGCCGTAAATTGGTCGCTATTTCTTTAGTTTATCGCTACGCATTTTAAGAGCCAATAATTTATCCACTTTAATTACTCTAAAATAGATTGAAAAGAATTTGAGAACAAATCTCTTAGCTAAATTACACCTTACAGTATCCCAAATCGATGCTGATAACTGAAAGTCGAAATCTTTATTGTTTACATGCAAAGAGTTGCTTCCCTTAGTTCCATAGTTTTGGCGAGAAAATTAAAAAAATCTTTGTTTGAAAATGTAGTAGAAATCTATTATCGAGCAGTGGAGCGGTACATGAGGCCTTTTCGCGGCACTTTACCGCGTGATGCGGTAGAGTTGACAGGTCTGCATTAAACATGCATTATGCAAGAGAAAAATCTGCTTATTACAAGTCTTTCTTTAGGCCTGAAATGTTATCTAAATTATCAATTAGACATTAATTAACTTATCCAGACCATAATAAACTCTCGATGTCAAGGCTAGCCTTCGATGTTGGCTGGATTAGATTTCGATATGCCGCTAACGGCTATTGATAATTAAATCAATAAAAGCGGATAATCAAGACTATGCTGTTTATATTAATGATTTTAGTAATGATGACCGAGACTATGCAAAAATTTCACACGCTTCTTTCTCGGCTCATAGTGGATCAATTTGACTGAAATTTTCAGCAAATTACCTTTACACTATCTAGTTTTTAACTATTATAGCGAGAACTGTCATCTCTTTATCTTATCTCCCATAATGTATCTTTAAGCAGACAATGTTTATCATCGAACTCCATCAAGGCATTCACCTACTGAATGCCTACACAAAGTTTGAACATTCTACCTCAATTAGAAGGAGAGTTATTGTGTTCCAAATTCTCGACCAATCAAATTGCTTAGCGCTCTGCTTACCCAGAGCAGAAAATGCTCATTATCGAACTTAGTCAAGGTACTGATGTGTTAAAACTATACGCCAAATTTCATCACTCTCATTTAATTAGAACACTTACACCAAGTTTGAACATTCTAGCTTAATTAGAAGGAGAGTTATTGTGTCCCAAAAAGTGTGATGGACAGACAGACGGATGGACAGACAGACGAACACATTTTAATAGTCCCCTGCTTTCTTCGAAAGGCGGGGGACAAATATAACATTGATTTAATATTTGCAAGGGTTCAAATAATACTAATATCTATTATAAGGTTTAATAAGATAAGTTGCAATGCAATGAAACATACACCCACAGCTGCTAAGTCATCCATACAGACACATGGGTTGTTGTATATTTAATGTTTTGGAGGTATGTATGGGAGCATTTAAGAGACTCTAACAACTGATCAAGAGTAACAACCCATTAAGTAATTATCAGAAATAACTGAAATTTGATTAGTTTCTTTCAAGATGCTCACATTTATTATACAAACAAGCAGTTGCCATGAAGATACACCCACATTTTGCAAGAGATGGAAAGAGAACAAGCTAAAAGAAAAGGTGATTTTCCGTATAATCAGGGGGGCATAACCCATGAAGTTACAATCCGATACGTGCCAATTTACATATTTTTACATTCTTTGCATACAAGGAGCGGCCTTTTTCCCCAACTTTGAACTCAACCTAAACGGTTTTTAAAATCAGAAAAAATTGTGACCTCTAGAGAGTCCACAAGCCAAAATCAGAAATTTCTTTAAGAATCAGGGGCCATAATCCAGAAAGTTACGATTCGAGATCATTGTAATATAAACACAAGTTTTAAGTTTCATCAAAATCAGTTCAACGTTGTGACCTCTAGAGGGATCACAACCGTGACATTACATACTTTAACACTATTTGTGAATAGGGTGCAGCCATTTTGTCCTGCAGTTCCGGTCTGATTTTCACGAAATTTAAACTAAACCGTCATTATACTGCCGTGCAAAGGAAGAAGGCAGTATCTACACTATGATTATGTTGCAGATACTGCCTTTCTCCTTTGTAGGGCAGTATAGTGTAATGGTGATATATTTAAATGTTTTTTTAAAGATGGGTTCCCGCATACAGACTGGGTGATTTAATGGTATATATGGACTAAAAACATATTCAAACTAATTAATTTGTCATAACTTTGCTTCAAATCCTTCTCAAACATTGTAATTGCGAAGGAATGTCCTGCTATAAAAATTCGATCAAACCAGGTTATGTTTACGTCATGTGACTTACCTCTCTTGGAAGTCAGAGGAGAATTCATTGCATACATAAGACGATGTTGTCTTCAATCGCTTACTATTTATTACAAATATCGAATCCAAATTAAATTCTCAGATTATCCACTACCCGTGTCTTTTTCCGTCCTTTTTATCTCAGAAAGTGTTGTATGTCTAACTCTTCATAAAGTTTATCAACTTGTACATCAAGCGCTCAATGTTCCCGTGTGACCTTTGACATCATGCATGCAGAAATTCCTAATCGTCGGGCTGTTGATTAGGGGAACCCTTACATTTTTGTCATGTATACGCTCCATGAATGTTTTTCGGGGAATCCAGTATTTTTCTAGTAAGATTGGATATCTCTACTTTCCATATATACCAAAATTACCATACTTTTATTGGAAATAACCACCCGACCACAAGTTAAAAACTTAATTTTTCATACAATCAGGGGCTACAATCCAGGAAGTTATGGTCTGATATGCACAAAATAAAATAAAAATTGTGACCTCTAGCACTGAGAAGTAGTAATAGTGAGATTTGTACGTTTATCTATACTAATATTTGTGACTGTCGTTTGTCTGTCTGTTCGGGGTTGGCGGCTACACTAGGTCTGCCCCGAGTCTGAAATTTGGGGTATAGGGCCAGGTGGCGTTAGTCTACCACTTCCGGTTTCGGGGTTATGACCCCCGAGCGAAGCCGGGCATTCTTCTAGTGGTATATATTTCTCAATTTTTAGTAAATTTGTACAAATATCGGTAAAATTCTAATTATCGCAACAAATCTAATACGAAGAGGCTAAAATCTGTAGATACGGTGTGTTAATTAACTGGAGTGAGAAATTGACTGAAAGGTGATATAATTATCGCTAGGGGTGAAAATCTCGGCGACGGTGCGTTTTCTGTACCGGTGTGTTAATTAATGAACGGGTTAAAAACGACTGACACGGTGTGTATTCTTTGTTTAGTGAGTTTTCTCGAAAGCGTGTTATAAATGCAGCAAAGGTGTTTTATCAAGGATCAACAGGGTTTATCTGACGCGTAGGCTTCAAATCTAATTTACCGTGCGATTTCTTGTTCGACCGTGTGTTTTACACAGATCGGTCTTTGTTAAGTGTAGGTCTTTATACATGGATTTATACGTGGGATAGGTACGTAAATCCTTTCTTATACGTATTTCATTTCTTGATGAATACTACGTGTTTTGTACTTCGTACCATAGTCGGACTGCAGTTATTTATATATTTGATCTTTTTTGTGGGTCTAATCGCCATTGTTAGCAGATTAACGAATCTGTAATCGAAGCAGCCATTATATTGTAATTATATTTTCATACAAAACAGCTTTTCGCCGATTTACATGACGTCTTCCCGATATATTCGCATTAGGGTATGTTTGGTTCCCTTCTTTCAACAGCTTAGATGACCCTTCTTGGACAATAATTAGTCAAACATAAAGAAATCTAACTCTCGGTCCTGCATCCGTTGCATGTATAAATCGATAGCACGGACTAGGCACGGCTCCATGTGTCGC